GATTTTGGTAATTTTAGGAAAGTTTTTAATGGTACAAAGTAAAGAAATACATTAAAATCTTTTGCATAGTGGGTGGCATGTCAGCAGAACCCGTAGTTTTCAGGTGCTTGGAGAATAATGATAACAGTATGAACTGAGGTAGAAGTAAGTGTGACAGTCCAATAGGGAGCTCTGTCAAGAGTTCATGACATTGAAGTAAAATGTATAGTTCTTAGTATTTTTTTGCTCATTCCTTTTCCCCTTTGTTTGTGGGCCTTTAAATGCTATATGCTGTGGTTCAGATCTACTGAATCAGAAATGAAGGTCTATTGTTGCCTTATTGTAGCTGTTGTATTTTTTAAGAAAAAAATATGAAAAGGTAAGCTATAATTATTACCTTTCTGGAAATAAAAGAAGCAGTGAAGGAGTTCTTAAAAAGTCAGACCACTTGCTTTTGATATATGCTTGTTTAGTGGATACTTACGTGTGGGTCTGAGCCAAATTTTGTCACCCGAACAGACAAATTTTACTGCGTATGTGTATTCTGACCATTACTACAGGACAAAGTTGAATTTCTGTTGAAATAAAGAGTTTTCTCTTAATACATGTGAATAGCTGCATGTAGATTAAAGTCCTGTTACTTGGGTGCTCCACAATGAAGCATTCTCAGAGTGGTCAGTAGGCTGTACCTGTGTAAATTCATGATGAATAATTGGGAAGAGGGAAAAAAAGGACAATGTAGCCAAACATTAATGACATTGAAAATGGGCAAATTAAATATGGAAGCAGAAGAATGGGGGCACATGGGTCAGTTGTGTGATATGCTTCCTTTGGTACTGTTTAAATTAATTTTGGCTCAAATACAGTTTTACTGTTTGCAAGCAGTTCTCAGATGTGTAGCTACTTTCACCCCTTTGCAGCTTTCTTCTTTTTTTTTTTTTTTTTTTTTCCCTTCCCTTTTTCCCCGTTTATGTTTTATGAGTGTTTTGTATGGGGGATATTTGTTGAGAAAAACTAGCAATGTAGTTTGAATCTAACCTTGGCAGCAAGACCTCATTTTCATCCAAAAATTTGGGGGTTTTCATTTTATTACTATGGCCTCTTCTACAGCTCTAGGATTTTAACTTTACCTCTCATCAAATATGGTCATTCACATTAAAAATAAAAGGGATAAATGTCATTATTGCTTGGAATAACCTGGTGTTCCAGGAGCTGTAATTTACATGTTTCACTGGCTATATTGAAAGAGGCTGGGCTTTAGGCATTTGAAATCATACCAACAAATTCTGCACAGTCCCCTCCGACAAAATCTGTGTTCTTGTGCAAAAGCAGAGCCACCCCATGGGTGTGTACACCATCATACAGTCGTGTGTAGTGCTCTGTTCTGTTTGTTAGCATACTTCCCAGTGTAACTTCAGTCTGTGTCAGTTTTTTTCTCCCAGGAAATCCTGGTCACAGTTTGGAGCATAGCTTGTGTCAGTGATTATTCCATATGTCATTTTCAGTGCCATCACATTGCTGGGAGAGCAGAAAAGAACATTTAGTCAGAAGTCAGTTAGGCTTTGGTGTTTGGCCTGCAGGCAAGAAAGTAACTCCTAGTTTACTAGCCACTGTCTCTTACAAAAGCTTCTTTTGGATGCTTTACTCTGTGTAAGCCACACACTCCTCTTAATAGTCTGTGCAAGCCACACACTCCTCTTAATAGTCTGTGCTTGCATTTCAGCATTGTGCTGCTGGTTGAGTCTCTCATTTTTCTGCCTGCTTCTTCCCTCATTATTCTGCCACACCTCTCCTAGGAGAGCACTCTCCTGTCTTTAAATGGTTCCATCCATCCTGCTATCCAGCTATATCCTCTTAGTAAAACAAGGCGGTAACATTCAGGAATCTGCAATAATAATTAGCAATAATCAGCTAATATATAGCAGTCACCAGCTACAGTGAGTTGCTCTAAGTTTTGCCTTATTACTCATCATTTTTATTAATGACCATCTTTAGTACCACCCTCAAAAAGTTCTGAAACAATGCAAGGCACAATATACTCACAACCAGTGTTTTGTTTAATACTTGTATTACAGAAGCATTCATCTGGGATTTAGTGTTACAGGAAGACTTGCAAAGGCTGTATCTTCTTTAGGCAATAAGATGTTAAAATCAGGAAAAATAAAGGAAAATACCTGAAATGTGAAAAAATTATGTGTATATGTATGTATACATATACATATAATTTTAATGCCTATCAGGTTCAGGCACTACTGTTTGTGCCTCAGACTAGCTCTCATTACTTGGGTGATTCTTAAAGATACTTAAAGAAATTTTGAAGAGAGGATAGTAGCAAACAAAGAGGCAATCTTATAGAATCACAGAATCCAACCCACCTGCCAAGGCAGGGCCACCTAGAGCAGGTTACACAGGAACTCATCCAGGCGGGTTTTGAACGTCTCCAGAGAGAGACTCCACAACCTCCCTGGGCAGCCTGTTCAGTGCTCTACCCACATAAAGAAGTCCTTCCTGAAGTTGAGCTGAAACTTCTTGTGTTTTAATTTATGGCCATTGCTCCTTGTCCAGTCACTGGGCACCACTGAAAAGAGTCTGGCACCATCCTCCTGGCACCTGCCTTTCAGATATTTATATGCATTGTGAGATCCCCTCTCAGTTTTCTTCTCTCTAGACTAAACAGGCACAGCTCCCACAGTCTCTCATAAGAAAGATGCTTCAGACCTCTGATCATCCTTGTGGCCCTCCACTGGACCCTTTCCAGTAGCTCCTTATCTTGTACTGAGGAGTCCAGAACTGGACACAGTACTCCAGATGTGGCCTCAGCAGGGTCGAGTAGAGGGGGGAGGACCACCTCCCTCAACCTGCTGGCCACACTCCTCCCAACACACCCCAGGATACTATCAGATTAAGTTTCATACAAATGTGGAATATTCTGAATCTTTTCACCGCTACATGGTATAAAGAGTACATGTTAAAAGTTTAAGATGTCTTACAGCAAATGAGAGAAGTATTTTCAGAGGTCTTTGCTATCTTTTTTCTTGTGTTTATTTTCAGTGTGCTGAAATCCTTCCTGCCTATGAAGATCCAATGATAGCCTTTTCAGGAATTTATTTTAATATTAGCTCTCAGGGTTTTTTTACTGTTCTTTCCATTGTTTTATTTTTATGCTTCTAGTTTTGAACGTATTACACAGTCTGTCTGCTTCTGTGAACAAGTTAAAAGGCAAAAAATAAAATAAAACTCCTATGTCACATTAGTAGCAGTAAAAGCTGTATACATAAATAAAAGTCAATTTTCATAAGTAGACATTAATGGGATTTTTATATTGCAGCTTGTCTGGTCCCAGTTAAACAGCCTCCTGTAAGCAAGACAACCATTGTGATTTTAGAAAATTTGGAGAGAGCTTCTTTGTCTGAATTACTAGGAGATTTTCTGGCACCTCTTGAGAATCGGAGTTCAGAAAATCCGTGCACTATTCAAAGAGGTATTTAAAGAATTTGGGATGGAGAAATGTTTTTACTACAGTACAGCTGTATTGTAATACATGACAAACAGGGAACAGCAGAAAAATGTAATTTATTCAGGTTTTAATTTTATAGAAAACAGTTGTTCTTAACTGAATATATCATGTTTTAAGACTAATTTATGGTGGGGTTTTTTCTTTCTAATTATGTCACTGCTTCTTGCTTTTCTATGAAATCATGTTAAAGCTTGGAATATTTCAGTAAAATGGTTTACGGTTCTTTTTTAGCAAATGGAGTGTCTGGTGCCTTTTACTTTCATGAGAACTGCTTTTTACTGGGGACAATCTCAAAGTGTCATCTTCATGGCTCTGACCTGCTGGTTCAGCATCATTTCCGCTGGGTTCAACTTAGGTGGGATGGGGAACCAATGCGTGGCTTGCTTCAAAGGTTTTTAAGAAGAAAAGTTATAAACAAGGTAAGAACTTGAATCTGTTTCAGGAATTTTGTTCATTGCCAGGTCTGTGAAATATGTACAGTGGTAATGTCAAAAGCTAAGCAGATAACTAAGTTGTTTCAGGAAAAAAATACTAATTTCTGGGAGGATAGAGTCTGTTTATCTGTAAATGTTGTGCTTGGCCTCATTTAGGAAGATGTGTGGCCATGGCTGAATAGCATAAACACACAAGTTGGCTGCAAATAATGACACAGTGGATACCTGTTTATCCACTGTAGGAAACATCCTTCAGTAATTCTTTCATCTCCTGTGTGAGCATGATAGTAAGAATCTGTTCAGATAGCAAGAATCTGCTCAGGAAACATAAAATCCCTTTCTTGAGAAATTTATTTTACTTATCTAAAATGAGATAGTTTGTCCTGTGTGTATTGTCTAAATTTTAAACAGCAAAAATAGGTTTTATGATTTTCAAATTAAAGAGGAAAGAGGCAGAAGAATATATCAGTAGTGAAGTTGTTTTGAGCCAAAAGGCCTGCTGAAGCTGGAACAAAAGTCCAAAAGAGAATAAAGATGGGTAGTCTGTTTTTAACATGAATAAATAAATGGAGGATAGGAAATGAAAACAGAGATGTGGGCAAAGGCAGAATTGTGGAATTCTGAAAGTTAGTTGGAAGAAAACTTTTCCAGTGTGATATCAGCTACTGCAAACAGTTGGGCAGTGTTAGATGCTGGGAGGGGGAATTTAATTGAAACAGCTGCAAAGGAAAATAATTTTGGCAGCAAGAGTTTTGAACAGGCTTAAAATGGGAGATTGTTCTAGGAACAGAAAAAGCTACCAGTATTAAAGAGTCTCAGTCTGGGACAACAGACCTACTGTTGGTTCTGAGTGTTCAGCTGTATATGTGTTAGTTATTCTTGGGGATGTCATCTCCTGTACCCTTTGCCACAGTTCTCATCTATGAAAGCTTACTGTTTCAAAGAGATCCTGAAGAGGAAATGTGCAGAACATTTCAATGAGGAAATTGAGAAACCTTGGTACTCTTTAATAGCAAGAGCATGAATACAGAATATAAAAAAAAAATCATGTGAAATATATCAATGAAACTCATAATAGATTACTTTTCTTAGGTTACTTTTCTCAGGTGCATAGTTATTTATAAGTACTTTTTTCTGTGTGAAAGTTAGTTTCCTTTTTTCCTCATGCACTTTAAATTTTTGGGTCCCTACAGACATAGTAAGCTGGAACCGTTGTGAGTGGCTGTCTGGTTGAGTGTATGAATAGTTTCCAGCATCCTTGGGAAAGGATGGGGAGGGTAGCAGTTGTCTGTAGACAAGTGGTAGAAAGAAGCTGGTATCTTGCAGATAGACTATAGTGCTGGAATGAGGTATAAGCCAGAGGATAGTGCAATAATAGCATGTAGCAGAATTCTCCTCCATCCTTGTAAGGAGAAAGATCGTATCCTCAAGTCTACACTGGAGAATATCTAGTGATCTAAGACCTTTTATAAAAGGACAGAAAAACTTTGATCATAGATCATTCAAGATCAAAGAGAAGGACTGTCTTCAGCTGAACACAAAGCCAAGAAATATGGCAATGCAGACAATCCCAGAAGCAGTGGTATTCTGACTTGTTCACAGAAAAAGGCTGGATCAGACTTATTTTGCCAAACTGCTTTGGCTACCAGGACTTGCAGCACCATGTAACAGATGTCATTTGCAGGCTGTTTTATTTAGGCTTAAAAGCAATCCTTAGTCTCATAGGTTAGAGTTTAACAATGTAATAGGTTTCTACCTCTGACTGAAGTTGAACAAATTTGGGTGGTAATCTTGTTAAATTTTATTACCTCTAAAGCATATATGCAGATTGTGGCCATTTGGAGGAAAAAAAAAAAAAAAAAAGCCGTGTGTCTTCCTCTGTCTTCCCCAATTAAATAATGAATGTTGCATCCCAACACTCCTGGTCAGTTGCCAGC